TGTGAGCTCCCAGTTTGCACACTTTGCTGCTGAGACATTAGCTGTCCCACTCACACTCACTCTCTGATCTGCAGTGATAACCTGATAGAGGCTACTCCTCTACTGATAGTGATAGCCTGATAGAGGCTACTCCCCTAGTCCGCAGACTTGTCCTTGCAAACTGGCCTGTGCACATACATTTGTGTGTTTCAACACATGCATACCTACATTATACTCCAGTTCTGTGTACAAAAGTGGAAAAGCAGGTGGAGAAGGGTGAGAGGGAGAGGTCAGGGATGGTTCTGTGCATAATGTGAACAGACTCATGTGTGATCACCCTGAGGGAGCTGGGTTGAACAAGTGCACTATTCTCTTGTGGATCAGGACTACCCAGAAGAAGACCCAGAGTACCATCTCTGTAGCACGGAGTCCTAGAGGAGCCATCCACAACAGTTCTAGTCAGTGACGTGTCACCTTAGAGTCCCTTTTCCTCCTTTGCCTCTGAACTGTCACTTGCTTTTCTCCACACCTAACTGCAATGGCCTCATGGGATTTCACATTACTACCTCCCCCAGGAATTTTTCTTTGTTTCTCTCAGGTTTTCTTGGCCATTTATTTCCTCTGGTGTCTTTAGTGCTCTGTGCTGAGTTCCATTAGCTGGAGCCATGGAGATCTCTTTCTGAAGGGTACTGCCCAAGAAGAGTTCCTGGAACTTCAGCTCTTACTCTTATCTGGGGCCCTGAGGTTGTTCATAAACATGAGCTAAATGAGTGAACTCTGTATTCGCAACAGCAGGGGACTGATGGGTCATTGTGTTCATTACTTTTCTCTTGTTGCTTGTACAAAATATCTGATGCTCAGAATTGAGGAAGAAAGGTTTATTTAGCTCACAGTTTGTGGTGGTGTCAGTCCATACTCAGCTGGCTCCGAGGCAAAGTGGCCCATGGCAGAGAGCAGCAATTCATGGAGCTGGAAAACAGCAAACGCAGCAAGAGAAAAAAGGGAGGAGTGGCAGAGAGCAAGCCTCTTCTGTCCCTTATATTGTATGCAGGCTACCCACCCTTGGACAGTGTAGCACTCATACTCATAATCCCAGTATTGGACTATGAATCAATCATAAGGTCTAGAAGCCTGCCCCCTGACTGCATGAGGCTTTGGGGGGACATCTAGACAAAAATCATAATATTCCATCCCTGACCGTAAAAAACTCATGCACATCCCTTTATGCAAAAGGCATTTTTATTTTTACATTTGAAGAATTTCTTTATTGGATTTCCACCTTACCTCACCACAACTGTCTGGCCTTCATGACAAAGATTGAGCCCTGTACAAAGTATTCATATTTTACAAGTGACAACCTACAGTACATATATGGTACATGAAATCTTTACAATGAATTTCAAAACAAACACTTAATACAAGTATAAAGAACTACAGTTTTATTTTTATTCTCTCTCAATTACTGGTAGCTATTAGAATTTTAGCTGTTGTAATAAAATGTCCTCCTTCCCAACATTCCCACTCACAGGAATCTCTGAATCAGTTCTGTAAGGTGCAAATTCACACTGAAGATGTGTTCTGTTAACTATTACAGGTGCCCAAATCCCTTTCATGATAGACCAGTTTATTGTAATGTATGAATACGACCTAAGCTTTCATTTATCATACATTCATTAGTCATTGAGGGAGTTCATTTGAAACTTTTAAAAAGTGTCACTCGCTCAACTGGAGTATTAGCATAGTAAATTTAATTTGCATGTCTGACTTTTTTTAATTTTAAAAATAAAAGGAGGAAAACATTAACAGACAGACAACCATTTACAAAATAGCATAAGACCAACACAAACAATGCAGAGTTACAAACAAAGTGGTAGGAAATTAAGAATGCTTGTTGTATTACATACTGACATCTTCAAAGTGGTTTCTCAGGAAAACAGAGACATGCAATATTGATCAATCAAGGACTCATTAACTGTTCCTTTCAGTAAAGAAACAGAAGTCGGTGGCACATCTACATTAGCTATCCTGTATATACATACATACATAATTTCCCCTTCTTTCTTTTCTCTTTTCCCTCACTCCAGTTGCTCTTTACTTTTGAGCATTTTCCTTTTGTTTCAAAATGGCTGTCATACCTCCTAATTTTTATTTACTCTTTCAGGTTCTTACACTAGTGAAACAATACTTTGTTTACACATGGAGGTCTGGTTTATTTCACTTATGAGTATGGTCTCTAGTTGTGACCGTTTACCTGTAAAAACCTCAAGTTTATCTTTCTTTATAGCTGAGTAATATTCTGTTATATAAAAGTACCACAATTTTTTTATTCAAACCTCAGTGGATGAACATTTGGGATGCTTCCACAATTTAGCAGTTGCAAATTGCGCTGCTATGAACATAGGTGCACATATATCACTGTGATATGATATTTTTAGATCTTCTGGGAAAATACCCAGAAGGGGAATGGCTGGGTTGAATGGGACCTCTAGTCCTAGTTTGCTGAGGAAACTCCAAACTGATTCCCACAGTGGTTTCACCAGTCTGTATTCCCACCAGCAGTGGAGAAGGTTTCCTGTTTCTCCACAGCTTCACCAACATTTGTTGTTGGTTGATTTCTTAATGTTAGCCATTCTTACTGGGGTAAGGTGAAATCTCAATGTTGTTTTAATTTGCATTTCTTCAATGATTAATGATGTTAAACATTTTCTCATGTATTTATTTAGCATTTGTATTTCATGATCTGAGAAGTGTGTATTCATCTCAGCTGCCAATTTTTGGATTGGGTCTTTGAATTGCAGGGGCTGATGTTTTTTAATTCTTTATATGTTCTAGATAGAAGTCCTTTGTCCAAGGGACAGTCAGCTAAAATTTTTTCCAAGTTTGTGGGTTTTCTTTTGACTCTGCTTGTGATTTCTTTAGATGTGCAGAAACTTTTCAGTAGAATGAGATCCCATTTGTTGATTCTTTCAAGTGTTTCCCATGCAGTTTGGTTTTTGTTCATGAACTCTCTGCTTACTCCTATGTCTTCAAGGTTTTTACCTACTTTCTCTTCTAATAGATTTAGTGTTTCTGTTTTAATATTGAGATCTGTGATCCATTTTGACTTGAGTTTGGTGCATGGTGATAGGCTTGGGTCTATTTTCAGTATCTGGCTGGTGGCAAGCCAATTTTTCCAGCACCATTTATGAAAGAGGCTGTCGTTCTTCCAGTGGGTTTGTTTGGCCCCTTCATCAAAGATTAAGTGGCTGAGTGTGTTTTTGGTTGTGGCTGTGTCTTCCGGTCTGTTCCATTGATCCTCACATCTATTTTTTCGCCAGTATCCAGTTGATTTTATTACAGTGGCTTTGCTGTATAATTTCAGGTCAGGGATTGTGATTTCACCTGACTTGTCCTTGTTGCCCAGGATTGCTTTTGCTATTCTGGGTCTCTTATGGTTCCAGATGAATTGAAGGCATATTTTCTCGAGATCTGTGAGGTATGCTAATGGTAGTTGAATGGGAATTGCATTAAATCTGTACAGCAGTTTTGGGAGTATGGCCATTTTCACAATGTTGGTTCTTCCTATCCATGAGCAAGGAATATTTTTCCATTTACTGAAATCTTCTTTGATCTCTTTTTTCAGAGTACCATAGTTTTCACTGAATAGACCTTTTGCTTCTTTTGTTAGATTGACTCCTAAATATTTCAATTTCTTGGATGTTATTGTGAAAGGTATGGTTTCCTTAATTTCTCTCTCTGTTTGTTGTTTGTGTATAGGAATGCTATTGATTTTTGAGTGTTGACTTTGTATCCAGCTACACTGCTGAATTTGTTGATTAATTCAAGGAGTCTTCTTGTGGAGTTTTTGGGATCTTCCATGTAAAGTATCATGTCATCTGCAAATAGTGATAGTTTTACTTCTTCCTTTCCTATCCTTATTCCTTTTATTTCTCTCTCTTGTCTAATTGCTCTGGCTAATGGTTCCAGAACTATATTGAACAGGAATGGTGACAGCGGACATCCTTGTCTTGTTCCTGATTTTAAAGTAAAAGCTTTCAGTTTTTTGTTTTTTGTTTTAGAATGATGTTGGCTGTTGGATTGTCATAGATGGCTTTGATCAGGTTGAGGTAAAGACCATCTATTCCTATTTTCTGTAGAGTTTTTATCATGAATGCATGTTGGATTTTGTCAAAAGTTTTTTCTGCATCTATTGAGATGATCATGTGTTTTTTGTCTTTGGCTCCATTGATATGGCATATAACACTTATAGATTTGTGAATATTGAACCAACCCTGCATTCTTGGAATGAATCCGACTTGGTAGTGATGTATGATTTTCTTGATGATTTGCTGCATTCTATTTGCTAGTATTTTGTTGAGTATGTTTGCATCTATATTCATTAGGGAGATTGGTCTGTAGTTCTCTTTCTTGGCTGGGTCTTTCTCTGGTTTTCAATATGCATTTCTGATAAGTGACTCCTACTTCAAATTAGATTTATGATAGTTTGGGTTTTTTTCTTTTCCTACAAAGAAATCCAAATTTTGTTTCAGAAGTGGTCATCTACCTTCCCCCAAATCATTCAATTATTGTATGTGATTCATAATCACTAACACATTTCTATTCCCTGAAGCTTATCTCTCCCTGAATTTGCCTGTTGCCTTGAGGCCCTTCTTAGATGTTTTTTCCTTTTTGCTGATCAAGGTACAATAGGGATTCAAAGCTATGTCTGAATTATCTACATTTCTACTAAAAAAATTTACTCAAGTAATTTATATGGTGACATGATTTCTAAATAGAGTCCTTTCCTCATCTACATATTTTAGGTCCAAAAATACCTGCTTATTTTTAGAATTTCAAAAATATGCCATCACTTTGATACTTTAAAGTCCCAGTGTGGACTATTTTATATTCCAAAAGGGCTCAACTGTCTTGAAACTGGAGCCTTCCTTGCTGGCTGTGTGAAAATCACAGAACTGGTTACTCATGATTATGTAGAATGGTTTCATTTATACTATGAAAATTACCAGTTGTGAATATGGACCTCAGAAATTCTTGCATTCATGCAGTTTCTCTTCCGTATGAGTTCTTTGAGACTTGGTAAGCTCTGCCTCCCATAGCGGCATCTTCATCCTTGTCCCATCCAAAGCAATCCCTCCCTCATAGATCCTCATCTGGGATGTGCTACCCTGACTCTCCACATTTATCACATTTAAAGATTCTTCTCCAGTATGGATTCTACTATGCTTGGTGAGATTTGACCTGACATTAAATGCTTTCCCACACTCATTACATCGGTATGGTTTCTTCCCAGTGTGGATCCTCTTGTGCTGGTCAAAGACCGACCTATAATTGAAGGACTTTCCACACTCACAATTATAGGGCTGCTTCCCACTGTGCACACTTTATAGTTGATAAGACTTGAGTGTGAGATGTATGCCTTCCCACACTCATCACATCTATAGGGTTTTTTACCTGTGTGGATCCATTTACGCACTGTGAGGCCTGAGCTGTCCCTAAATGCCTTCCCACATCTATCACATACATAGGGTTTCTCCCCTGTATGGATCCTCTTGTACTGAGAAAGAAGAGAGCTGTAACTGAAAGATTATCCACACTCAACACACTTGAAGGATTTCTTCCCAAGATGGACTCTTTTATGGCTTATAAGAGTTCTGCTTGAGAAAAAAGCCTTACCACATTCATCACATGTATAGGGTGTCTTGCCAGGGTGGGTACTTTTATGATTAATAAGGCTTGAGTGTGAGATGTAGGCTTTTCCACACACATCACATTCATAGGGCTTCTCCCTGGTATGTATTCTTTTATGAACTTTAAGGCTTGACTTGTTTCTGAAGACCTTTTCACATCTATCACATTCATAGGGTTTCTCTCTAGTGTGTACCCTTTTGTGTTGAGAAAGAAGTGAGGTATAATTAAAAGATTTCTCACACACATCACATTTGTAGGGCTTCTCTCCAAGGTGAGTTTTTTTGTGATTTATAAGGGCTTGGTATGTGATGAAGGCTTTCTCACACTCATCACACTTAAAGGGCTTCTCCCCAGGGTGTACACTTTTATGATTTATAAGGCTTGACAGTGAGATGTATGCTTTCCTACATTCTTCACATTTGTAAGGTCTCTCCCCAGTGTGGATTTGTTTATGTACTTTAAGGCCTGAATTGTTTCTGAAGACTTTTCCACACTCATCACACCCAAAAGGTTTCTCCCTAGTATGAACCCTTTTATGCTGTTCAAGGGCAGAGCTGTAGTTGAAGGATTTCTCACAATAGCTACATTTATAGGGCTTTCCCCCTAGATGGATACCTTTGTGATTTTTAAGACTTGAGCGTGAGATATAGTCTTTCCCACACACGTCACACTTCTATGGCTTTTCCCCAGTATGAAATCCCCAGTGGACTTTGAGGCCTGAATTGTTTCTGAAAGTTTTCCCACATACATCACATACATAAGGTCTTTCTCCAGTATGAATAGTTTTATGTTGAAGAAGGAGGGAGTTATAACTAAAGGATTTGCCACACTCTTTACATTCATGGGTTTTCTTCCCTGGGTGAATGCTCTTATGAACTGTAAGGCCTGAGCTAGAGCTGAATGCTTTGCCACAGACATCACACTTATAAGGTTTCTCTCCCGTGTCAATCCTTTTATGCACTATGAGGCCCAAACTGTTCCTGAAGGCCTTACTGCATTCATCACATTCATAAGGTTTCTCTCCAGTGTGGATGACTTTATGCTAAATGAGAAGAGAACTATAATTGAAGGATTTCTCACACTCATCACATTTATATGGTTTATCTCCAAAGTGGATGCTTTTATGGTTTAGAAGTGTCCTGCAAGTAATGAAGGCCTTCCCACACTCATCACATTCATAGGGCTTCTCACCTGTATGAATCCTTTTGTGGACCCTCAGACCAGAGCTATTACTAAAAGTTTTTCCACAGATGTCACATTCATAAGGTTTCTCCCCTGTGTGTATCCTTGCAAAAGGCATTTTAGTCTACCTTTATTTACCATTTTAGTTTACCTTTACCAAAGTCCTAACAGTTTCATCATTGCAAAAAAGTCCAAGTCCCAAGTCTCCTCCAAGATGTAAGGCATTCTTATACGTGAGCCCCTGTACAAATGAAAAGAAAGTTAAACTTTTCCAACATTCAATGGCACAAGATAAACATTTCCATTCCAAAAGTTATAAACAGGGGGATACAAAGCATTGGGACCAAAGCAATTCCAAAATCCAACAGGGCAAACATTAAGTACTGTAGTTCCATGTGGAACATCTGAAGCAATCTGTGGTAAGTTGTGAGCTCCAAAGGCCTTGTGTAGCTCTGCCCCATGGAACTTCCAGTGGTTGTAGCTCCCAGGGCTTCTTGCTTAGGCCTGCTTTGCAGGTTTCTTTAGATGATCCACATTCCTGGTTTTTCCAAACTTCTGGGTTCTCCACTGCACCTTTGGCTTCACCCTCATAGCTTCACACACTGCCCTGTCAGGGGCACGCTGCCTGGCCTCCCAGGCCTTCTTCTGAAGTCTGGGTGGAAGCCTTTTTAACCTCCAAAGTCTTGCATTCTGCATGTGCCTAAAACAAGTGCCATGTGGATGATGCCAAGGTCTGCTGCCAGCTGCAGCTCTAGCCAGGCTTTCCTCTCCCTTGGCTGTAGGGTTTCAATGCCTGGATCACTGAGCCCTCTGAAACTGATTCTGAGGAACAAATTCTCTATGCCACCGCCATTCTGGAAACTGCTGCGGCCACTGCTGCCGTTCTGGACCGTAGTGTGACTGTCATCATTCTGGAACATGGAGCTCTCTGGCTTTTTCCTCAAAGCAAAGTCTTTCACTTTTGCAATTTTGAGGCTGCAAAGGCTGGGAACCTGCTGCTTCTTGTGATGCCCCCAGGCTTCTCTTGTTTCTTCTCAGCAATCAAGATAGCCTCATCTCTGTCTTTGCAGTCCACAGCTTTACTGGAGTTTCCTTTCTGGTCAAACTCACATTTTAAGTAATCCCGCTGGTCTCTGTGCTCTTGATTCTCAACATAAATCTGGCTAAAAGCCCCCAACAATAGCCATGCCCAGCTGCAATATTTAACTGCCTTGTAATTTCTTCTGCCAGATTAATTAGTCCTTTATCCCTCCCTCCTTGCTGCCCAATGTCATAGAAAAGCCTCAGAGTTATGCGGGCAGTTTCTGCAGCTCTGACCTCTTGTCCCAATACCAGGATGTCACATGTAGTGTGGATGGACAAGTACGTGAGGTTGGTTGCCTAACAGTATGTCTCAATGTGGTTGTTTATTTGAACAAGCTGACAATTCAGGGTCTGCAGTGACTGGATAAAAGGTTTTTGTAGATATAAATTTTCATATGCTCTTTCAGCTTCTGGTCAGTCCCTGACATCAGAGGGCAGACCTCTGTCCTCCACTTAGGCAGTCTAGGGTGCCTCTCCCTTGTAAGCCAGTCATTGCACAGGACTCCTTATCTTCCTCTTTTATGGGGGTGGTGTGGCTGGGGTGGGGGGTTTGAAATGGTCCAGTAATGGAGAGACCTGGTCATGAAAGCAGATTGAGAGAATGTACAAGGGATTCACTCCTTTAAATCACATAATTTAATGTCTTTTAGCATAGTCACAAGTTAATCACCACAATCAATTTAAAAATGTTTCATACTCCAAAAACAAGGCTGCATTCCTTTGCCATCACCACCCACTCAGATGCACACACACTCGCACAGATGCAAATATTTCTTTAAGCCTCTCTATGATCCCTGGGCAACAAATACACTGCTTTCTGTCTCTATGAATTTGCCTCTTCTGGACATTTCATATAAACTGAATCACACATTATGTGGTGCTTTGCTACTGACTTCCTTCACTTAGAATTCTATTTTCAAGGTTGTAGCATGTGCCAATATTTCATTCTTTTATATTGTCAAATAATACTCCATTGTGTGAATATACCACTTTTTATTTATCTATTAGTCAGTAGATGAACCTTTACATTTTTGGCTGTTATAAATAAGGCTGCTATGAAAATTCATATGCAAGATTTGTGTGTGTATGGATATCTGTTTTCACATCTCTTGGGTATATGACTAGGAGTGGAACAGCAAGTCAAGAATAATATTTTGAAAGGAAAAGTGGAGTAGAAGAAAATGTTGAGACTATGAATCATGTGTAAAAATCAGTAGGAGTTATTGCTTCTTGGTCTTATGACTAAGATCAAGTATGGAAATTGGTTACAATGCAGCTTGATGAAGGTATGAATTATATCAAGTAGAAGGTAGGAATTAAGGCTGGAAGAGCATATTTAGAGTAGTCATGGGCTGCCGTAAATACTAAAATGAAGGGGTCTGGATGCTAATGAAATAATAACAAGTATTAATTGTAATAATTAATAAATGACTATGTAAGTAAATAATAACTTTCTATGTATCTAATACTGCACTAAATTTCAATACATTATAAAATACTTGAAGCAACCTTGCAAAACATGAAGTATAATTCCAGTTTTGTAGATGAAGAAATTTAAACTCACAGAACGATTAACCCAGAATTAACTGGTATCTCACAAAATTTCAGAAGAATCTCAGCCTAAACACATCTTTTTCTTCCTCATTTCTATATATTGTTGAAATCATATAAATATAGGTTTGTGTCCTATTGTGGATATCACTATAGTGTGGAACTTAATGGTGCTTTGACCTAGATCTTAGCCTCCATAGAACTGTGAGAAATGCATTTCTGTTGTGAAAGCCTACAGTATTTTGTTTTAGCAGTTTGAGTAGACTAGGAAAAGACCAAACCTGAAGTCAGTAAGGGAACTAAGCAGATCAGGTACTGTAGAGTGGACTCGACAAGGAGCAGGACATGTAGAGTTTTGTTCCACACCCTGCATTTCTGAGCAGTCACCAGAGGAGCTGCTCATTTCTGAGAACACCTAGCCTTATCCAGCACCTTTCTACTGGTGAGGAAGTCAGCCCTAGAATGGAGGTGCTCTGTCCCTGACAGCAGAGGACAGAACTCTGTCCCCCTATGCTACCTGTGTTCCTGAGAAACCAGTCATTGCACAAAATTCCTTATCTTCTTCTTTTGTGGGGGTGGGGGACTTGAAATGGTCCAGTAATGGAGAGATCTGGTTATGGAAGCAGACTGAGAAAATGTACAGCCTGCCTAGCTCCAAGCTCTCCTGTTAAGGCTGCCTAAAGCCTAGAAAAGGTGGAGCCATGCTTGTGAGGTCAGAGCACCTCAAGTTTGCTGAGTAATAAAGTCTTGAGTTGGAGTTAAAAACTTGGACACCAACATAACATTTCTGTGTTCAAATCCAAGCTCCACCACTTACTAGCTATCTCGATCACAAAAGATCAAGTTATTGATCTCTCCCTATCTTACTTTCCTCATCTTCAAAAGGGAATCATGCTGATGTATTGCTCAATATTTGTAGGTATACTTGCCTAGCAAGCACTATGCCCTGGAAACAATCTTCAGTGAGGGGTGTGGATGGGGGCTAAGGGTTGTTATGGAGGATGAATCATGAAGCACACATCTCACAGGGTCACAGTGAAGAGTCCAGAAAATGACTCCTATGAATTGGCTTGCAGGAATCATTCAATATATGTTTCTTTTTTCTAGATATTTTGAGACAAGTTCTTGTTATGCAGTTTAGCCTGGCCTTGACTCACTATATAGCCCAGACTGGCCTCAAACTCATGGCAATTCTTCTGCCTCAGCTTCCTCAATGCTGAGATTACAGGCATGAGCCCCTACACCAGCTCAATACTTGCTTTCTATTCTTAGTCCGCATACTAGTATTTGATCTGCAGTTGGATGAAAACATCTGTTTGTGCTTCCTGCCTCTTTCTAGATAGAAGACTCTAAAATTCTCCTGGACAATCAGAAGACTCTTGAAACCATCCACGCAAATTTTAGATGAGCATGGAGATGGGATTGACCACTAGTGTCCAGTGGTGACTGTCCTCCGCAGAGCACTCCCATGACTGAGCGTGGTGTACACGTGGTGCACAGATCCATGCAAGTGTGCAGATGTGGCCAGAGCTCTGCAAGGTCCCTGGTCAGCATCCTGGAGCTGGGGGAGGAGGAGAGGAAGGTGTTGAGCAATTGTTCACCCAAATCTCAGGCACTTTCTCAGTGGAGAGATGAAGCTACACCCTTGTGCTTGCCTCACCAGCCTAGGTGGAGGCCAGGTTTCCTTGCCCAATCTATTGGGTAATGAGAGAACAGTATTGTGAGCGTTGGATGTCACTATGGCTTCCCCACTGGTTCCAAAGTGTCTAACCATTTGCCTTGCTCCTGGGATCTGCCTGTACCCATCCCTCACTACAAGACTAGGTGCTGTTGCTAGTCAAAAAGAGATCTCCCAAGTGCCCCAGAGACTGTGGAGGGCTGAGTAGAGACCCAGAGGCTAGTGGAAGAGAAACCTAGAAAGAGAAAAAGACAGATGGGGGAGAGGACCTGGAAGCTGAGGAAACAACAAATTGCCTGAGCCAGTGTCAAGGATGTGATAGCATGAATTTTTCTTGGCCAGTGATGCACCAGCATTGGCAAATCATCATTAGCATTTCATCAGGGTCATGGACAGTGTGATGTTGGTGACAGCAGCATCCTACATCCTGAGTAGATCTCTGCTTGCTTCTTATTCCTGCCCACTCCCCGCCCCGTGCCTCTCACTCCACTTGGGACTGCCTAAGCCAGCCAGCTCTGTGCACCTTGCTCCTTGTTGGAAGGGGGAAAAGGTGTCTGAAGAAATTAGAGATAGAGTCATCCACTACTGTGTCATTTAAATTCCCATCCCAAGAAAATATAGGCAAGGTGAGGTTGAGCATGGCCAGGACAGCCTTCTGGCATTTAAGACCAGGAGAAAGGTTCTGAGTGCAGAGGCAAATTACTGTGCTCAAGCAGAATCTGAAGCAGAAGTTGACCTTCTGTTCTAGAAGACTGGGCAGAGACCTAGGAACAGCCACTCCAGCATCTGAGACCTAAAATGCCTCTGCACTTGCTGCAAGAGAAGGTGAGCTTCCAAACAATGGCTCCAGTACCATGTGTTT